CGCGCCTCTCGATATAATAAACTATGAAAACGCGTTGCGCTGTCTCTCTCTCGGATCCAGCTGGACCGCGATACCCATATATTACAAACTGTGCGATCAATTTTTCAAATCCGTCCTCGATTCTCGATTCAACGATTCAACCCGAAGAGAGTAGGTACGACGCCCCTCCGTACGTACTTACATTCTGCGACGACAAGTCGATCGAATAAATTCCCTCGATTACCACGTAAATGCGCGAAATAACGCAATACTCGATAGAGCTTCGCTTCTGCGTCTCACTTTCAGTATCCTTATATTCCCCGATCCTATCCAACTACCATCTCTCCGACCTCGAAATCGCAGTTTAAGAAAATTCTCACTCGTCAGTGATCGCTAACTGCATCTACGATTCAAACGTATCCTTTTCTACGTTTCTTTCGCTGTTCTCGACTGGACTTTGGAAACCTCGGCAATTCCCATCGTTGCTCCCGTTGCTCATGTTAATTTCTAAAATAAGAAAAACATTAGGAAGGTTATCCCCGTGCATGACAAAACGTTCTACGTTCCCACCGTATTTTCCTCGTCGCTGTCATCATCGTGCCACCTGTTCGATGCTATCTCTCCGTAGTATCTTCTTTCCCTTCCTGTCTCATCTTCGTTGACATCATCGTCGTCGTCATAGTTCGTTGTTGTTCTCGTTTCCGTTCAGCTTTTCCACTCTTTTGCTATTTCATTCTTCGATTACGACGTTTTCCCAGCAGACCAATCGGTTGGTTCGCTCTCAGAACCTTCACCGGTCTCTTCCGACGACCTGCATCCTCGATTTACTCGCCATAAATTTCTCATAAAGCGTATATCCCAAGTATCGAACTCGTTACATCGATATATCTACATATCATATCTACATATACATAGATAAGTCGCGTTTTCAAGCGATTTTTAAACTGTCTCGCGTGGATCGTGTACGTGGCTCGTAAGATCGACGATCTTCGACCTCTGCTCCGAAACGTCCGTACCCAACGTTTACGATGTTCACGATTCGTTGGTAGGTACGAATAATTTTCTTACCCTTGGAATATCGTTATCTCCGTGTCTCTGCCTGTTTGTCAAGAAGGAACGCTATCCTGTTCTGCTCGTATCTTCGTTCGATGATTGTCGGTGATACTGCACCCTCATTCGCTGCGAAACGTTACCCGTTCCGTTTAAAGTGGAAGATGGGAACACCTTGCACTTGGTTGTTTGCCTATTAGCTCCTCGCTTGCTTACCCCGTTGCTCTTTTTGCCACATCCTATCGCACAGTTAGGCGAGCTCACCGCCTCCTATACATATACATCTCTATAAAATACCTTAACAACACCTGTACGTACGGTATTTGTTCGCGATCTCTATACATAGATATTGTATATACGGTACATAATTGTTACACGATTGTACATACTACGATGCATGCTCGTAATTATCATAATACGTATACGTAGATTTGTCCTTTGCTCATTAGCGAGTAAACACGAACGCAACACCTTTCTTCCTTTCTTCGTTGATTATGCCACCCTTTGATTGCATATTATTATTTTCAGATCATGCATACCATTCATACGTGTCAACTGCGATATTAGATTTTCCAGTATACTACTATATGTATATACAGATACATATGTACATACGTATCTATGTATGTGTACTCGCGTGTGTCAAAACTTTCCTTCGTATCCTTCGATGGAATTTCGTTAAATGGTAACACTTTGTTCTCTTCTGGTTTCTCTGTGATGCTTGGTATGCGCACGGGAGAACATATCTATGTACATATGTTTCACGATCGCTGTCTTTTCTTTCCTTTACGAGCTATCGATACCGATGCGAACGCGTAGATATCGATATCCAACGATAATTACCTGTTCGGTATAGATCTTGTATATATTATGCCAGATCACGTGGTTTGTCATAGTGGCAGCTTCTCGTTGTATTCCACTTCTCGCAGTCAGGATTACGAGGCGTTATCGACCGATCGATTCGCGGATCGCGCGAGAAGAACGTCTCGTGAACGAAACGAAATAGGAATAGCGAACGAAGAAATGGCCGTTAACTGCGTTTACCGGCAGTCGATAATGTCCTCGTAATTCGTACAAACTCCCTTTGTATTACGATTTATGCACGAACTTCCGTCGATCGAGCATGTCATTCGGACGGTTGTTCGTTCAAGTTCCGCGCGTGTGCACTTTCGACTGCAGCCGCGATCGCGCGTCTCGAATCGTTTTTCCAT